CTTCCTGTTTGAAGGACTGCACAGGCTAATGTTGTTGGTATGCTGGTCAAAGAGGGAGGTGCCTGCTCTTTTGAGCAAGGCCTCTGCTTTTTACCCACATCCAGAGCCGCTCCTCCCCCCCCCCACACACACTGAGGGAAATGGCAGTGTCCGTGGAGGGCTCACAAACATAAGACATGCTCCAGACAATAGATTTTTGTAAGGAGGGCCAATATCTCATATGAGTGTCTGCCATTTCCTCAAAGGTCACCCACAGCAAGACACACATTCTCATTACTGCACTCACCAGGGATAGGGAATGGGCGTTAAGTCCAGTCTATCCTAAAACACCTGTCTGATGCCAACAGCGTTCACATCCTAATTTTGTCCATCTTTGAGTTTTCAATTCTTTGGTGCACAGTATTGTGCCCTCATGGGTAGCAGGAAGAACACTCCACCCTGTACAATAAACAGCTCCCTCCTAAATATCTCGTCCCGCAAGCTGACTTCAAGGAGAGCTTTATGTCTGCCTGGGGCCGAATCAAAGGTAAGATGGTCTCCTCCTTCTCATTAAGCCCTCTATGGATCTGCAAGGGGAGACTTGGAGTGGGGGTTCTCTCTCAGTGTCTTTAGCACAGCCTAGAGGGAAGGTCAGACTTGACCAAGGAAGGAGTTTTCATATCTGGAGGATATTAGGCTGGTCACTCAGGTCTCACAGTCACCTGCCTTCATTGCTCTAGCATATCAGGGATCTGGGCCAGCTTGTTTTTCCCTGCTTTGACAAGACAAGAAATCAAAAGTGTGTTTTTGACACTGTGGCAGCGTCACCAGACCCTGCCGAGCACTCTTCAGTGTGGATTGATGCTCACATCTGAGGAGATATACTGAACAGTAATCCATGGGACACTCATCTCTGTTTATTTTGTACATATGAAAAGAAACACATTTCCTTTGGATTGTTTGTTTCTAAATGGATATATTTGGTGAGCTGGCTGCTGAACAAATTGACCCCTTGGCAAATTGGTTTCTGGGAACTGGCCTTGAGTCCACATGTGTCCACTCGATGTATATTCAGAATAGCGAACTTCTTTTCAAGTCCTGAATGTGTTTCTTGGTTTCATAATTTGTCCTATTGCTGACCTTGGTGAGTTTCCTTACACTGGTCCCTGCTTTGGCATCCCTTTTGGAGTACATCAAATACCCCTAAAACTCAGCTGAATGATTTCCTGAATTGCTTTGTTACCACCACCCACTTGTGGTCCCTTGAGGACTAGTTTCTTCATCTAGCTTCGTGTTGAATCAGAGGTTAAAGAATTAGCAACAGGGAGCAGATATGAGGACCCTGAGGGCATCACCCACAGATTCTGCAGAGAATGGGAAACTGTGGCCACAAGACACAAATGACTGCTTATGTTGAAATTGGTTAAACACGCAGATTAACAATGATAGAAGGCTGCAAAGAAGGAGGCTTATGACTAGAAAAGCTATCTTCCGTTTCATCAGGGACTGTTGGTAATTTAGCCAACTCCTCTGCAGAGCAAGTTTTGGTGCCAAGAACCTTTAGTTTTTTACACTTGATTAACTGTGCCGTTTCTGAGCATCAACAATGACCAGTGAGCAGAACTTCAACCTGTGTGTCCCAGCTTACAGTGTTCATTGTGTCTGCATGGCCTCATACCCATTGGCTTTGGGTCCTGCTACCTCCCTGGGCTCTTACAGGACTTGGAAAAGGTTTCTCATAGGTAGATGAAGCTCTACTTTTAGTGACATATTTAACCAATAGGACAGTCAACAGGAGACAAAGACATTAAAATAAATAAGAAACTCAAAAACCCCTTTGCCAAACCCCCATTGTTTACATGATTCTCTACCTCCCAAGTGTATCACCAGCTAGAACTATATTTGCAGAGTAAGAACCAATTATGGTAATGCCATTCGGGCTTCAGTATTCTTGACTTAACATGACCTTGACATAGACTTTCCATATTCTGCTTCTGCACACTTACATATTCAACATAATACTCTATGGTAAGAAAATGCTGCACACAACCTCTTCCCATCAGATAGGCATTTGGGGTATTTAACAAGTCCACCCTCTAACCACATGACTGGCCAAGAAGACACAGCAGAGTGGGCCAATTACACACCAACCCTGACTGGCTGGACCTGAGCATTACCCTGCCCTACCACTGGCTTATTCTGAGTGAACTCCCTTAGGCACTTCTGAACAAGCAAAGTGACTCTGGCTGTACCACCTGGTACATCAGAACCTGTATCCTTCTAGGACATTTCCTTTCTGAGAGGACTTAGAGGTTACCTGGGTGTGTCTCTTCTTTACAATGTGAAATGACCAAAGAAACATGAAATAAGGAAAGACAGATGTCAGAAGGGGGTGATCCATGTGCAAGAAACACATGGAACTTTCTGCTAAACCCACTTCAGACAAGCCTGGACCAGAGATGGGCTGACTGCCACAAGAGCCCTGACTGCCTGGCATCCCCTGGAGATTGAGGTTTCTCCGCCACTTTCAATTTATCTGCATTCCTATATGCATAGAAAATGGTAGAAGTTGCCATTTAAAATAGGGCCGACAACAGCCAGATTTGCCTTGGAGACAAGGTATGAGCCACCTCTGGGAAGGTGGTTCTAGAGATGAGAACGATGACTTGCCCTCAGCATAGCCGGATGCCAAGGCTGAGGCAGAGTGAGCTGTTCTGGTTTAAACAGCAAGAGAACACTTGAGTTTTCAGAGACAGAATGAGAAAGAGAGTGAAGAACTTCCAAATGTGGTAAAGAAGCCATCTAATGCTTGAGGGAGGAAGGGCGAGGGCAGGGCCCAGGAAACCACATTGTTCTGCCCACAAGGAGGACCCGGTGGGCAGCTCTAGGGTCAGTTGCTTACTGGTTGGCAGCCCCTGCTCGTGGGTCAAAGTTGCTGTGGGCACCAGGCTGGTGATGGCCACATTAGGGCCCAGCAGGATGGGCCTTCCCTAGAGGCCAATGGGTGAAAGAAAAGCCAAGGGTGACTGAAGGTCCAAGGCCGAGGGGAGAATGGAAGACAGCCCAGAGGGTGGCACTGACCAGGCCCTTCTCACCTGGTGCCTCTTACTATGGCCTGGAGCTAGACCACATATAATAGTTTGTCATGGACTCTGTTCAGTGTGGGGGCCCAGAGACCCCTCTCACCCCTATTCCTTCTGTCTCCTTTGTTGGTGCTCTGCCTCCTCAACATGCTCACATTGAAGTTGCCTGAGGGCTGACCTTTCTCCAAATTCCCTCCCAGCATGGTCTCCTTCAGTCCCATAGCTTTGAATACTGGGGTCAGCTGAATAATGCCTGTCCACCCAAAGACATTCACGTCCTAGTCCCCAGAACCCGTGAAAATATGTTACCTTACATTGCAAAAGAGACTTTGCGGGTGGGATTATGTTAAGAATCTTGAGATGGGGATATTATTCTGGAAACACAGGTAGTGCCTAAATGTAATCACAGGTTCACAGGTGTCCTTAGATGTAACCACAGAGCAGAGATGAGACATACACAGCGAGAGTGAGCACAAGAGAGGGAGAGAGCGAGGGAGCAAGAGAAAGAAATTAGAATGTTATATTGATGGCCTCAAAGATGGAGTAAGGGGCCGTAATCAAAGAATTTGGGTAGCATCTAGAAGCTGGAAAAGGCCAGGAAATAGATTCTTCCCCTGAGCCTTCAGCTGGAATGTAGCCTTGAGGATACCTTGGTTTTAGAACTTCTGACCTCCAGAACTGTGGGAAATAGACTTGTGTTTTAAGCCACTAAATTTTAGTTTACAAATTACATATACAGGAGTCCTAGGAAACTAATACAAATACCATCTACATGGTGGAAGCTCTCATAATTATGTCTTCTGAACTCCAGATGAATATGTGTGTCCAACTGCCTGCTCAACATGTCCACAAGGTATCTAAGGGACAGTCTCAGTCCAATGTGACTGAGACCCCTTCCCCCAAACCCACTCCATCTGTACCTTCCCCAGCCAAGTTGACCTCAACTCCATCCTCTTAGTTACTCAGGTCACAGCCTTGGAGTCACCCTTGACCCTTCTAATATCAGAGGCCTCACATCCAATCCATGGACAAGCTTGCTGGCTCTGCCTGCAAAGTGCACCTGAACACTTCTCAGCCACCCACCGCTGTACAACAGAAGTCAGGACTTGGTGCTCTGCTCTAAGGCCTGCAGTGACTTAGAGTAAGGCCAAAGTTTCTGTAAAGGTCTGTGGCGACCTGACCTGCACGAACTCCCTCCCCATCCTGTTACATCTCCGATGCCCCTGCTCCACCTATGCTGGCCTACTCTCTCCCTAGAACACATCAGGCTTTCTTTTGCTGTTTTCAGCGGCTCCCTCCACTTGTCACTGAGAGCAGCATTTTGGGTGTCACTCGGCTACTTTCCTCACCTTTGAGTCTTTGCTCAAATGTCTTCTCAATAGACTAATCCAACCCTCAAAAGAGACTATAGAAAGATATAACAAGGGAGCTCAGTGGATAGACAAACTTTAGAAGGTCAGAGGAAGAAAGATGTGAGGTAGAGGGAGGAGTGAACAAAAATGGGTGGGTTTTAGCCCAGTCATTGGGTAGAGGGGGATGAAACAATGCTAGAGTCACCCATGGTAAGGGTGGGACACTACCTGAAGCCCTTTGGTTCTACTGTTCTGGCTGTTGCAGAAGGACATCAAGACATTCCCCATGTATCACCTTGTGTTCTCTTTTATTCTTCAAATGCTGTGGCCTAAGTACTGCCTGGCTTAGATGTCACCTGGAAGTTGGATCAAATTGAAATAGAACAATTCAGAGAACAATTGAATCAGATCTCCTCAGTGTGGAAACTGAGGCCAGAAAGTAGAACTTGCATCCCAGATCCTGGCTTCCCATTGAACACTCTTCATCTGTACTTGATTGTCTACCCATCTGGACAGCACCCAGGTGACAGACCACAGGGAGACATCGGGGACCCCAGGCCACAAGGGTTCAGCAAAGCACACTCACTCAAGTCTTTCCTCTTCTTTCCTCCGAAGGTCAAAGTCCCGCTGAACAACTTCCCAGACATGCTTGGCCTCTTCATCAGTAAGCTTGGAAAGATCCAGTTTTTTCCCCATTTCTGCTTCTCATCAGGGTCACTCCTGCAATATCACAGAATCACTCACAGTCAGTTCCCAGAAGCCTACGATGCTGGCTAAGTCACAAAGTAAGAGGCCAAACAGAAAGCAGCCAATCAAGACATATGTCTGTACCTGAGTTAAATGGTTTTCTAAACAGGCAAATGCTTGTCTGGAAACTCATGCAGTTTAATGACTCTTGTGTAGTTTAATGAAAAGAATCTACATATAAAATTCCCACACTTAAGTTTCAAAAGGGATCTACTTCCTGCCCCCTTGGACCAGACACACATGGCTACGGGTCCCTCCTTCTCCTTCTATTGTAGGATCTCAATGATTTCCCCTTCAAGGGACACACCTCCTATTCCTGAACTTTGCAATGGGAACTCCAGAGGTGTCCTCTAAGAGAAACGGTCCACCCCTGAGCCTTCTTGTCTTAGATTTTCCAGGAAAGGGAACATCACAAAAAAGAGGAAACATCACAGCACTTTCATGGTCAGCCCAGAGTCTCCTGTGCATCCCCCAGACCTCCTAGTGTGAATGGTGCAGGCTCTGTGTGGGCAGGGGTGCCTGGAAGATTGACTTGTCAGGCAGGAAAAGCAGGGTGACTCTGCATTTTCTGGAAGGTTTTACAACCCTCTGGGCTTGGGGGACTATTCAGGTTTGCCATGTGGTGGGGCAGAGCCAGTGGGGGAGGACACATAAGTATGATGCCTAAAAAGGCATCATGCTTGTGCTGGGAACATTTGCACACTTTCCATGGTGAGGAAAAAGTGATGTGAGATAAGAGTAGAACCAATCACCCGGGCAGGATGACCCGTGGGTGGAGAGCTTTCTCTACTTGAGGGAAGTCAGCTGTGAGGGCTACCCAGTGGGCATCTCAAGCCTGGTGTACGTGAGGATCACCCAACAATACTGAGGGCCAGGCCTTCCCTCAGAGAATCTGGTTGGATTGACTGAATGATGCTGTGCTTCTAGGTAAGCTGCTGACTAGGAAATCAAACTGCAGATGAACACAGGCACTTTTTGAAGTTCATCACACCTGATCCCAATCAATGTCAAAAGGACAGAGGAAGGAAATCTAAATGTCAACAACCAAGATAAGCAGAACCCTAGAACTTTGCTTGCTACTCAAAGTGTGGTCTGTGGACCAGCAGCATCACCAGGGAGCTTTTCTGGGAATGAAAATTCTCAGGTTCTGCCCCAGACCTACTGATTCAGAATCTGCATTTTCATAAGAAGCCCAGGCAGTTTGTGTGCACATTCAAGCTGGCCACATTCATGCTGTTGGTCCTCGGACCCTTCTGAGTAGCAAAACTCTAAGGGTGACTCATTCACTTGGGTTGGGACCTTGGCCTGTCCATCCCGTGGGGTGGGTGTGAGTGGGGCAGGGATACAATGGTGATGGTTGAGCAGAGAATGACAGACCCTCTTACTAGTTTTTCACACAGTGATATTACATGGCCTCATAGCTCATGTTGATGTGGACATTACTACTGGATATAAAATTGGAGGCATGACTGTACCAGGGAGGACCTCAACCCCCAAAGGGTGCAAACTGGGGACACTGAAAAACTGTGCACATTCCCCACAAGAACTGCCCAGACCACCCAGTGGTTTATGTTCCTTAACCCAACACTTCTTGCCCTCATCCCTTTAATTTTTGTTTGTACCTCCTAACAGTTAGTGATGTCACAATGTTACTGTTATTGTTCAGCTCCATGATAACAGCGAATCTTTCTGTGCCAGGACACAGTGGGTGCTTTTTTTGTGCCCCCAGCCCACTAGTCTGCAGCAGGACATGCCAGGGAGGCCCTTGGCCCGAGAACACTGTTGCTATAGCCAGACCAACTCTACTATGGGCACTGAGGCTCTGGGGAAGATTTTGTTTGGGTTCCTGGAAGTTCTGTTGTGAGTAACTGAAAGTTTAAACATCACCATGTGATTTCAGTCAGTCTTCCTTGAGGGATTAAACCTGTTTTCTCAAGAACATTAGAGAAGGGATCCAATCTGTCTGCTTTCAGTGGGAAGCCTTAAAACTAATCAAAAGACTAGATTTTGCTTCTGAATTCTGAGAAGCACTCTAGTTCTGTGATACTGACCATTTGGAAGCATTCATGGTGAAAATGTTAACAAACTTCTTCTGTGCTGGAAACGTATTTTGATTTTCTTGCACAAGAGGTTAATTATGAAAAGTGACATTTTCTGGGCAGACACCATTTAAAATGAAAATTTCCACAGAGGTCTCATGGAAGTCAACCAAAATACTCCTTGGCCTGTACCTTAAAATTAGTGAAAAATAATTTCTTGAATTTTTTGCATCCACCCCTCAATATTTCAACTTTCAAACACAATGGTGGTTGTTCGAGATGCATTAGGAAGTTGCTCCAATGCACCAGAAGCATTCAAATTCTGTTCATTTGCAGTTGTATTTAGATTCTAGACAAGAAAACATCACAATAGAACCTATTATTGATGCTTTTGTAGAACACATTATTTCTGGTTTGTAAAAATTTGGAACAAAAAGTTCTTATTTGATGGATGACTAGGGTTTATTCATTTTTATTTTTCATCATTTCTGAAAAAAAACTACCATAAAAAGAGCATTCATTGGCATTCTATTTTCAGAATGGTTCGACAGTGTGACCATCAGCTGAGGAGTTCACAATTTCTCTCTTCTCCTAAAGTAGAAGTTCAAATTCCCGATTTCATTTTAGGAAACTTAAGTCATGAGGTGTAAGAGAGAAGAGCAAAACAAGAGGAAAAAGTATACTTTTCTTATCATGGGAGCTTAACTAAGAGCGCAGCGACCAGTAAGCGGGCAGTAAGTGGGTAAAAAGGTCACAGTGTGTCAGAATCCACATCCCAGAGGCTGCCTGGACATCTGTCTCCTCTGTCTCTTTGCTCTTTTTTGAACCTGCTTCTTCTCGTCAATGCTTGTTTCTAATGAGGATAGTTACTTGGTTTCTCAACCAAATATGAAGATACCTGAAGCTGGGGACCTGGAGAAGGAGACCTGGGGACCTGGACTACGAGGGGTCTGGCACTTGTGATGAGGCAGGGCCTGCCAGGATGGGGTTGGGGAAGGGGCACAGGCTGGCATTGGGAAGCCAGAGCCTGCCTAGAGTGAGGCTGGGGACAGATCTGTGCGGAGTTGCCCACAGGAATCAGCAGAAGGGATAGGCAGGCATATCCATGTGCCTCCATGGGAAACTCCACCGCTGCTTAACACAACCTTGGAGACTCCAGTCATGGCCCTGAGTTCAGAGAAGTATGTTCACTCTGCTTTGTTTAATAAAGCCAGAAATCATGTAGTAGAGATTTTGAAAAACATGAGTGCATCTAACATCCAAGAACGCTTTAGAAGTCACCTGAAAAATTTAACTCTAGTGTTACATTTTAGTTCCAGTTCAACTTCCTTGTGATCAGGAGATGCAGGGAGGGTAGGGGAGGAACAATGTCTCCAAGTTTCCAATGTGGCCTACTCGGAGTCTGTGCCCAGGGAGACGTGTTCACAACAGCCATAGAGTCACAGTCAATGGCCCACATCATAGGTATTATCTGCTGTGACCAAATCTTCCTCTTGAGTGAATGAATGCAATGCAGGACTTAAAAGATTTTCAAAAACGATCTCTAGAAAATCATCTACAATCAAATGGAGAATATGTTTTACTTCAGCATTTAAAATGCACAAACCAAAAGTCACTGGCATTTTGGGGGTGTGTTGCTAGCTGCCTCCTCCCCCACCCACCGCCTGCTTGCCTCAGATTGGCACACTGATGGGAACACTTGGAGGGTGGTGCGGGCGCAGCCCCTGGGCCAGGTACGTCACAGCCTTGAAGCAGAGTCAGCTGCTCCCAAGACCCCAGGAGTCTCCACCCATTGCAGTCAGGGTGGGGAGGGGGCAGAGGATGTGCTAGACCCACAGAGGAGCTGGCCTGCCCTGTGCCTGCCTGGGTGGGGTGGGGGGACCTCCCAGGGTGTGTGTGTCAGGGGCAGGTACTGTCCAGCTCTATCTGCTCCTTGTTCCATTTCTGTGTAGATAACTCACAGTCATGAGTTCCTGAACAAAACTTCATGCCTGTTTCACTACTCAGATTTAATCATATTTCAAACATTTGAGACTGGCAGCCTTCCCCAAACATTTAATGGCTGTAGTGGAGAAGAGGGAGGTGACACAGAGATGGACAAGCAGAGAGGAGAGAGAGGAACTGGTTCTGGAAGATGGATATCTCAGATTCAGATCCCTGAATTTCAGTGGTGTGTCATCTTTATCCATTAAAGATCTGAGTTTGTGTTCTGGTCAAATGGAAGGGAAATTTGGGCAAGGGCTCCTCCTAGACAGAGGCTTAACTACCTTTTCGGTCAGCTGTCCCCGGGAATCTTAGAACAATAGTGATTGTGAGTAGTCAGCCGCCTGAGCAAACAGAAACTGGAAAGCAAGTCAAAGTTCATCAGAAATGCCCAGCTAACAATGGCAGGCACTGTCTCTGACTCACAGCCAAGGTGTGTTTTGTGGTGGTGTTCCTGCTGATAAGGGGTGGGCAGAGGTGCCAATTGTGGTTCCCTCTGCCTTAACCCTTTGCAGCTGTTCCCAAGTGCTGCTAATCTGAGTTGCCTCTGTGGTTATTTCTGATGCCCATTGGTAAGAACTGACCCTTCAGCCCTCGTCAGCATCCAAATGAACACATTTCCACCCGGAAGGGCCAGTCTCTTCCCTGAAGGTTCACCAGGCACACATGTGGCATGGCCTCCAATGCTCTGGAATGGCTCTGGCAGCACTGGCAATGGTGGAGGAGGGAGAGCCAGCTGCCTGCTGCCCACCCACCTACCTGCCCATCCTCTCTGCTCTCTAGCTTTTTGCTGGTAAACCTTGTTTATACACAGGTTTTGCATTTGCATCTAAAGCCTCTACAGCAAGTCTCTACAGCAAGTCTAGTGCTAGTCCCTACAGCAAGAACAGGTCCCAGGTGAGGCTGCAGAAAGGGGACAGGGCTAAGAGGAGGGAGCTAGATTCCCATCCCA